CTATTCAATCTATAACAGTGAAAAAGTGTTTTTGTTTTTAAATCCAAGCTTTGTGTCACCAGATCTGAGTGGTGGCAATGGTCACCGTATCCACTGTTAGCGTAACACACCCGCTTTAAGGACACTGACTGCTATTCAATCTATAACAGTGAAAAAAGTGTTTTTTGTTTTTAAATCCAAGCTTTGTGTCACCAGATCTAAATGGTGGCAATGGTCACCGTATCCACTGTTAGCGTTACACACCCGCTTTAAGGACACTGACTGCTATTCAATCTATAACAGTGAAAAAAGTGTTTTTGTTTTTTTTAAATCCAAGCTTTGTGTCACCAGATCTAAGTAGGCAATGGTCACCGATCCACTGTTAGCTGCACACACCCCATGAGAAGGACACTGACTGCTATTCAATATATATAACAGTGAAAAGTGTTTTTTTTGGGAAAATCCAAGCTTTGTGTCATCACCAGATCTAAGTGGTGGCACTGACTGGGAAATGGGCACAGTATGCACTGTGAGCCTGACATTGAAGCTGGCAGCAGTGGCAGACAACTGACTGCTATTCAATCTATAACAGTGAAAAGTGTTTTTTGTTTTTAAATCCAAGCTATTGTGACACCAGATGTAATTGGTGGCACTGACTGGGGAAATGGGCACAGTATGCACTGTGAGCCTGACACAGAAGCTGGCAGCAGTGGCAGACAACTGACTGCTATTCAATCTATAACAGTGAAAAAAGTTTTTTGTTTTTAAATCCAAGCTATTGTGACACCAGATGTAAGTGGTGGTGGCACTGACTGGGGAAATGGGCACAGTATGCACTGTGAGCCTGACACAGAAGCTGGCAACAGTGGCAGACAACTAAGTGCAATTACATTACATAGAAAAAAAAAATCAAAAAAAAGCATACCCTTATCCCTAACCTAGCTATGCTTTTCCCTATCTTATGAACAGCAGCTACACTTTCCCTCCTCTTACTAAGCATGCAGCTTGAGAATGAATCTAAAATGGATGCCTTCCAGGAGGTGGGAGGGTCTGCTAGGGAGGGTGTGCTGCTAATTGGCTGGAATGTGTCTGCTGACTGTGAGGTACAGGGTCAAAGTTTACTCAATGATGACGAATAGGGGGCGGGTCGAACCGCGCATATGTTCGCCCGCCGTGGCGAACGCGAACATGCTATGTTCGCCGGGAACCGTTCGCTGGCGAACCGTTCGGTACATCACTAATCCAGAGACTAAAAATCCAAAAATCCCTCAAGAGACTCCCCATAGACGGGTACATTTTTAAAGAAATCTCCAAGTTATTAGATAAAAGTCCTTTTGAACATACCACTAACCTGGTAATTAAATCAGCGGCTTATTTGGCCTTTTTCAGGTTTCTAAGACCCAAAGAATTTTCGGTAGAGAAAATATCTGACATTGACATTTGCCTTAAACAAAAAAAAACGTAACCAAAGTAAACGAACATTACGTCCTATCGATCCCCCGCACAAAACCAAACCAAGCAGGCCCCCCAGTGGAGATTAAGTATTTCCCTACTGGTTCCAAATGGTGCCCAGTTCAAGTGCTAGATAATTTGATAAAAGATCAGTATCTTTTATCAAATCCAGAACTGCCTCTGTTGTCCCTACAAGGAAAGCCACTTACCACTAAACAGTTCATGCTATACATATGTTCTTTATTACTCAGACTTGGCCTCAATCCGGATTCCTTCTTAGGACACTCATTCCGTATTGGGGCTGCCACTGCAGCCTCAAGTAGTCAGGTTCCGACACATATAAAGAAAATGGGTTGCTGGAAATCTTCAGCATACAATCGGTACATTCCAAACCCAGAGAAAGAAATCAGACTCGCTTTCTATAATATGTCTAAATAATGTTGTTGTAATAAATATACATGTTTGCATACTTTTTGGCCCTCTTTTTTACAGGCCTAACCTCTCGTCGGTTTCGGCACACCTCAACCAACTCTTGTTTCATCAAAACTACACTCACTTTAAGTATACGCCCCCTTTCATAATATATATATATTTATTTTTTTACAGTTAAAACAAGAATTCACCACCTAATTAGGTGATTTAACAGATTCTGCAGAGATTTATTTATTGTAAAGCGTAATTGTTGCGAAAGGAACCTTGTCACTGGGTCTTGTAGGGGCTTGCTTGCCAGCCTCTTGCCTCAGGACTACGGGCCATGCAAAAAGGCTCATAAAAGACTCTGTTCGTACAATTGGGATTATATGGTTTGGTTCCCGAACAGCCGCACGAACCAGAGACCACCCGGGAGGTTGTTAAACCCTATTAACACTTAGTAACGATTCTAACCGCAGTGTTATAATTGTCTGGTTGGGTGACCTCTGTTCGCATGAACGACGATGAGGTGGTGGCCATCTTGTTCATATGAACGCAGGCAGCGGTGTTTGGTCGTCGAGTTCCTGGAACTAAAATCGGACACAGAAACTCCCGCACACCGCTGGACTTCCATCATCACCTACGTTCGGTTCTATACAATTTAGAAGGGCACTGTTCGGTGGAATCATTCGTCTGAATGAGAACAAGCTCCAGGTTAAGACTATTGACTATGTTCAGTAGTTTGTTCATTTTTAAACTACCAAACTAGACGACTGCAAGCCCTGATTCTCTGGAACTGTTTGGGCATGGGACCATGCGTGCGGTCAGTCAAATAAATGACTTCCAGGAAATTCCTGAACCCCTCAACCTATCTGGGTGACTTTTGGATATGTTGGTCACCCAGATCGGGGCTATCAGGGGATGTAACTTTTGTGGGGGTTTTGTGTGTTAAAAGGTATTTTGAGGGGTTTATAAAATTGTGTGTTTTTGTGTCTGGAGATAATTGAGTTATTACAGTACTTGCGCAATTAAATCCCAGGTACAGAGGAGGGATTGACCTAGTTAGGTGTGGCAGTGTCCTGGATCTGAGAGCCAATGTAATTGTGTATTTGTTTCTGCTGTGGTTTACTCTCAGGTCCAGTGCATGGGGACTTGCATAAAAGGCCAGTTGTGGCTACCAATAAATGAGTTCCTGCCTACCCTCAACATAGAGCCTCGTCTCATATGTGGGGGGAACAGCTGTATCTGCTCTGGGGATTGCTATATCACAATACTTCCCTGGGTTATAATCACTTGCTCTTAAGAGCATATTGCTACACTCTCTTGGAGGAGAGGTCTACCCACTGGAGGCTGGATCCTGGTCTTGGGTCCAGGGTCGGTGGAGGACAGCGAGACCCCAACCAAGCTGTAATGCTGGAAGTGGGAACTACAGTGCTGATGGTGTCTGGTGGAGTGCTTGGAGTACTCGGTGAGAACTAGGAGCATCGATTGGCAGAGGCACCTGGACAGGGTGCCAGGCGGTCCGCCACAGTAATTATACCGTATCCAATCATAAATGTGTAGGGTACTGACAGCCTTTTAATTCAAGGAGAAATGTGTTAGCCATTTTGAAGTCAAGAAGGATTTTTCCCATTTTTGCACAACTGGAAATTGTTTCAAATAATTGTTTGCCTATTTGGAGCAAAAAATGAAAATGAGAGGTTATAGAGGTGATGTCTTTTTTTCAACCAATATTGCAAAAATTGTACTTAAATGTACAACTGCGGACATTTCCTGCAGAACTCAATCGTCATACGTCTTCATAACATCATTCTTCATGTGATGTAAGAAAATACACAACGTGATGATCAATATACATGCGGACAGTGCCATCCTTATTATGTTGTTCGACGTGTAATTAATGGTACCTTGGAAAGAAAGAATTTAGAATCATAAAATACAGTCTACTACAGATTCAATCAATGAATGAGAAAAGCACAAACTTTTTATTATTATGATATTTTTCTCTCATTTTTACGTTTCCAATTACTTACAAATTGTGGCAGGAATAGCATAAAGCATGGGGTAATAAGATATAATCTGTGCCCAGTGAAAATCTAATTTATGAATACCAGATGATATCATGTCCATATCTTCGCCCACCCTATTATCCAGCTAAAATGCCATCCTTGATCTTATTATTCTCCGCCCACTCTCCACTTTCTCCGCTCAAAGCCCCACCCACTTGCCACCCACGCGCAATGTATTCTTTGCTAGAGCTGCATGTTTCTCTTACAATGGCTTCAACTCAATATTTTGGATACATTTTTCAAGTGATTTAATATTTTTGGATAAAAATAATAAAATGATTTAATATAATGAAACATATTGTAATTATGTAATATTTTCATATTTAGACATATTTTTTGTAGATGATATATTTTTGACATTTTATTATGTTTAAATAATTTGAAAAGTTTCTCCAACAATATTAAACGGAGGTCAATATATCCATATATACATTTTTTGTTGGTGATGTGTACTGGACTCACCTTGTATCTGAACGTTTAGTCCTTTACTTCTTTTTATCACTTTGTTGTTTGCAGTTATAACTTCACAGTTATAAACTCCAGAGTTCGCCGCCTGAGCTGACTCAACCTCATATTTATTGGATAAACCGAATTCTTGCACATTCTGTTCATTTCTGTAGAATGCAAACAGTAATTCCGTAGTATTTCCAAGCAGAGTCGAATTTGTGTCGCAAGAAAGGGTCAAGTTACTCTTTTCCACCAGCAGATCATAAATCAGTTTTATCTTTGGGTAAGAGAACAACTCTAGAAAGGAAGAAAAATCCAAATGAATGGATTTTGAATAAAGTTGTTACAATCTACCATCAGTATCCGATCAATACATTTTTTTTTTATTTCTAATAGGTATTTTGTTGATGTGCAGGTACTGCTCATTGACTGGGAGCATCAACTGAGCACTCAGTCAATGAGCTAAGCCCTACATAGTTGGGTAGCTCACGGCAGAAAACTTCCAGCTCTCAATTTTTAGAGCACTGCATGTTCCCTCCACCTATTTATACAAGGCCCTCTTGAAGTTTAATTCTATGTAGATTCATTACAATCTATCCACAGTACATTTAGTGGAAGAGAGGTTCCTCATGGGTCAGTGTTCCCCACTCACCTTGTACCTGAATATGTAACACATGGCTTCTCTTCTTTACATTGTAGTTTGATGTTCTGACCTCACAGGTATAATTCCCCGAGTCCTCGAGCTGAGCTGACTGAACCTGGGACCTACTGGATGAATTGAACCCCTGCACCATCTCTCCATCTCTGTAGAAAGCAAACATCAGGTCTGTGGGATATGTAGGAACTGTGTCACATGTCAAGGTCATCTCTGCACCTTCTGTCACTTCCTGAGGGCTCGCTTTAATTTGAGGGAATGAGAACAGTTCTAGAAGAGGAACATGCATTGTATGTTAGTTTTATGGACTAGAAAGAAGTTACCTTGTTGCAAATACATCTTCTAGTCCATTGACATCAAATCTAACATATATATGATTTAGCAATTTCAACTTTCATCTCCTCTAATCCAGCACAGTGTTCTCTACATACAGATGCCAGGTTTTATCAAGGCAATAGTACTGAGCATAATGTGTGAGCATAACAGTGGAATGTTTGGCACAAATTCCTATAAAAATAGTATTTACACATTTTCATTTATCTTTTGTTTTCTAATCTATCATAAGTGAGACATGTGGTGGTATTTTATTTTTAAATACTGTGCTAGGAATATCATACTATTTATAAAAAGTTTCACTCCCTGCTCTTTTCTGCAAATAGTGAAAGAGATTAAACCTTAATATATTTATATGATTTTAATGTTATATGTTTAAGAGCAGCAACTGTGACTTTGGACCAGGCTGAACACAGGAAAAAAGTTTTGTATAGCCCTGGCACTCACCCAGAGAGGGGCATCTGGTTCGGGGGAAGTCCCAGAACCCTAAATTAAACATAAACAATATAATAATAAGGAAATAGTGATGTCCCGAACGGTTCGCCAGCGAATAGTTCCTGGCGAACATCGCTTGTTCGCGTTCGCCACGGATGGCGAACATATGCGCTGTTCGGTCCGCCCCCTATTCGTCATCATTAAGTAAACTTTGACCCTGTACCTCACAGTAAGCAGTCACATTCCAGCCAATCAGCAGCAGACCCTCCCTCCCAGACCCTCCCACCTCCTGGACAGCATCCATTTTACATTCATTGTGAAGCTGCATTCTTAGTGACAGGAGGGACAGTGTAGCTGCTGCTGATTTGATAGGGAAATTGATAGCTAGGCTAGTGTATTCAGTGTCCACTACAGTCCTGAAGGACTCATCTGATCTCTCTGACCTCACTACCCCCCACACCCTCAGCCTCACTACCCCACACCACCCCAGCCTCACTACCCCCCACACCACCCTCAGCCTCACCACCCCCAGCCTCACTACCCCCACACCACCCTCATCACCACCCCCAACCACCCTCAGCTTCCCCACCACCCTCAGCATCACCAGCCCCCACCCCCTCAGCCTCCCCCCACCACCCTCAGCATCACCCCCACCTCACCCCCCACCACCCTCAGCATCACCACCCCCCACCCTCACCTCCCACCACCCTCAGCCACACATCACCCCCCCCACCACCCTCAGCATCAACCCCCCTCACCTCCTCTTCCACATCACCCCTCCTCACATTACCCCTCCTCCTTCTCACATTACCCCCTCCTCCTTCTCACATTACCCCCTCCTTCTTCTCACATTTCCCCCCTCCTTCTCACATTTCCCCCTCCTTCACATTACCCCCCTCCTCCTTCTCCACATTACCCCCCCTCCTTCTTCTCACATTACCCCCCTCCTTCTTCTCACATTACCTCTTACATCACCACCCCCCACACCACCCTCAGCCTCACTACCCCCCACACCCTCAGTGAGGTAGTGAGGCTTTAATTATTTTGCTTTACAAATCTTGCATCACAATCTATTAGAAAAATGTTCCAAATTATATTTCTACAAAAATCCTTATATACTTTAATTGTGACTTCTGTACATTCATAATCTGAAATGTTTTTCTAACATATTGTGATTATTTGTAAACCTTATCCAAAATAATGAAATCTAAACCTATGTGTTTCACAGACCATTGTCCATCCATGGACTTACCTCTAACGATGTTTGAATGTGTTCGCAGTTACTTTAATTTGGTATTGATGAGATTTACCACTTTTTCTTATTTCTATGCACCGCACCATGGCTTTTCCCCTTAAAGGGAAACTATCGACCTTAAATTATAAATCATTATTTTGGGACTATAGGTTTCCTTCTGTCCAAATAAGTAAGATAAATATTACTCACCTGTTTTCCAGAGCCAAGACTCCTCAGCTGCAGTCTCCAGCTCCACCTTTGGTGATGTCAGCAAGGATTCTGACATCACTCAAAATCTCATCCAATCTAATGTTTCTCATAGAGAAGCATTGGATTGGAGAGGGCATCACGGAAAAATGCAATGCTCCTCCAATCAAATGCTGCTTTCAGTTGTATTTCATTACCAAACCAGGTTTTACTAGATTTGGAGAAGGAAGCACCTCTAGTCCTCCCAATTTCCAAATTATAAATATTATCAAAACAGCAGACTCAATAAATTGTAAAAAATATATATTTTTTCATATTACTAGAACACATTTTCAAATGTACAGAAATGAGAAATATCTAAAATACATGAACGATGAAGAGTGAGTGAGTATATAATGGGCACAATTCACAAAATAGAACCATATCGATATATGATAACGATTTTTTTTTTCTTTTTAAAGTGTACTCACCGTCTTTGATGTATTTGAGATATGTTTCATTACTTTTCATTTGAACATTTGTTTGGTAATAAGGAATGAGGATACATTTCTTACAATTAAGTGTGTGCTCTCGAGGTTATATGTGTGATTTGCTCTTTTGACCATTAGAGGGAGTGGTTATCCACTGGTTTGCACAATCTATCTATTTAGTGTGGTTCCTGACTTGTGTGCACGATCATACTAGTAGATGTATATGCTTTCTAGTTACATTGGTCACCAGAAGACATCCTAGTGGTCACAGGATCTCAATATGTGGATAACAACAGCTGCTATAGTTGAAAATCTGGATTCGCAGATCGATTTAGCAGTTATGGTTCATTTTATTATTCCACAGTTATCGTTGCTAAATTACCCAATATATGGAAACGCGTCACGCGGCTTATCTTCTTTACGTTGCTGGTTGAAGTCTTTACTTCACAGGTAAAATCTTCGGAATTCCCAGACTGAGCTGAATAAATCTGGTATTTATTGGATAAACCAAATTCTTGCACATTTTGCCCATTTCTGTAGAATGCAAACTGTAGTTCTGTAGATGTTCTGAGCAAGCTAACACTTGTGTCACACATGAGGGTCACATTAGCACCTTCTTTTGGTGCATATGGGTTCACCAATATTTGTGGTTGAGAGAACAGGTCTGTCAATGAATACAAAACAAAGGAACATGGGTTATATTTTGTTAATTGTGTTCTGTGAATTAAAAATAAGCCATTTAATTTTCAAGGGTTCAGATCTTTTATCACAACTTCTTGTGCTCCAAAATTAGTCATCCTTCCTCCCAAACTGTTGTTAGAATTTTGGTTACATTTGATTTACGTTTTGGATCGCTTCCTCAGAGTGGCAGCTTTGACTATTTTAATAGACATTAGGTAAGATAGGGTTTGTACTTGTACTGTTTCTATATATTTTTGTTGAAATTTGCCCTGCATGTGCAATATCTTCCCAATGCATTCCTATGGTTAAGCGTTTGACTGAGATCATCGATCGTGGTGGGGTCAGTGGGTGTAACTAGGTCCTTTCCCCTGAACATTCAAGGTTTGGCTTTGTCAAGACCCTAATGGGCGGGGCAGGGGGGGACTCCTAAATAGGTAGGGTATCAATATAGTATTAGGAATACATGTGTTCCTTTAAAACCCTACTCTTGATTATATGTTTTCTTTATGGTGGATCTAAAAATTCAACCTTTATTAAAGGGACTTCCCAAGCCTTGTCATGATGCATGCTCCTTGGGTTATGATGCAAGAACATCCTGTTTTACTACAGCTATAAGACCACTCATTCATAGGTGTCACAGTACAAACCAGATACTATCTTGTGCTCTCATACATTTTGTTGTGTGCCCATGTTGTAGACATACATAATACAAGTCTCCACATCCTCTAACAGGTCACACCTATAGCGCCATTCATAAAAGTACAATTACTGGAGCTGCATGTTCTGCTGAATGTGTTAGAGTAGTGTAGAGGTTATTGGTTAGTGAAATGCAAGATGTTTCAAGATAGTGTAAAGTAGTGGTTAAAGGGACACTGTAGGCACCCAAAGAACTTCAGCTCATTAAAGTGGTCTGAGTGGCAACTCCCATCACCCTTAACCTTGAGCATGTAACTATTGCAGTTTTGATAAACTGCAATAATTACCTGCTATGGTTAAGTCCTCCTCTAGTGGTTGTCTACCAGACAGCAACTAGAGGGACTTCCGAGTTCATAGACGACTTTTGGTTGCCTAAACGATGCTGGACGTCCTCACGGAATCCTTTCTTATGAATGCTCCCTTATGGGGAGATCCTAATACAAGTGCGGCTATTGCCGGAGGCGCGTGGGCGGAGCTGAGCCAGTGCCGAGGGACATCGACACTGAACCCAGGTAAGTGACAGAAGGGGTTATTAATCACTTCTGCACCACAGGGATGGGCCTTGACAAAGGGGGAAGCTATAGTGCCAGGAAAACAAGTTCCCTTTAATGTTTAGTGACAGTATTGTGTAGTGGTTAATGGTTAGTGTAGTGTAGGGGATAATGTTTCAAGATAGTAGTGTAGTTCAGGGGTTATTGTTCAGTGATATTAAAATTTTAGTGTATGGTTTAATGTTTTTAGTGACAGAAAAGTTTTAGTGTAGTGTAATGTTTATTTTTAATATAGAGGTTAGTATTTAGTGACAGTGTAGTGTTAGTGTAGTACATGTGACCTACACAGTCTCTCTACCCACTTCCTGAAAAGTATATTTTTAAGCTTCCTTTATTGTACATAAAGTTTAATTTAGAACTTTTTATTATTTTTATTATTATTATTATTTTATTATTTATATAGCGCCAGCAAATTCCGTAGCGCTGTACAGTGGGTGGACTAACAGACACGTAATTGTAACCAGACAAATGGACGCACAGGAACAGAGGTGTTGTGGGCCCTGCTCAATGAGCTTACATGTTAGTGGGAATGGGGTATAGTGACACAAAAGGTATAAGTAGGGATAATAAAATAGGTTGCTAAAAATTTATTCACTCAGAACCTTATTTTTGACAGTTGCAGGAGAGGAGTCATGGGCGGGAGGGGGCAGGAATGCAACCCCGCTAACAGTTTAATTGATATGCTTTCCTGAATAAGTGAGTTTTCAAAGATTTTTTGAAGGAGTGGAGACCGGATGAAAGTCTAACGGAGAAGGGAAGGGAGTTCCACAGAAAAGGTGCAGCCCTGGAGAAGTCTTGGAGGTGAGCATCAGAGGTGGGAGTACGGACAGAGGATAGACGTAGGTCTTTGGCAGAGCGCAGGGGCCTCAACTGGACATACTTGTGTATTAGGGAGGATAGGTAGGTTGGAGCAGCATTATGTAGGGACTTGTAAGCAAGCACCAGGATCTTTAATTGAGCCCTTTATCTAACTGGAAGCCAATGTAGGAACTTACAGATGGGGGAGGCGTGGGAGGTGCGGGTGGACAGGAAAATGAGCCTCGCTGCCGCATTCATTATAGATTGCAACGGTGCAATCTGGAAATATGTAAGTCCACTGAGAAGGGGATTGCAGTAGTCAAGGCGAGAAAGAACAACGGCATGGACCAACACCTTTGTCGCGTCTGGTGTTAAATAGGGGCGGATGCGAGCTATGTTTTTGAAATGGAAGCAGCAGGATTTGGCGATCGACTGGACATGAGGGGTGAAGAAGAGGTCGGAGTCAAAGAGAACACCTAGGCAGCGAGCCTGTGAGGTAGAGGTGATGGTGGCGCCGTTGACTTTGAGGGAGACAGACACGGGAATAGCAACACTTGAGGGAGGATAGATCAGAAGTTCTATTTTGGACAAGTTGAGTTTCTCCTGTTTTGTTAATTACCTGCAGAGCCTTCAGCAGTCTCTTTTGTTAAAAAAGTTCAATTTACAGAGCAGACTGTGCTGTAAGATCTGATTGAAAATGAAACCATGCAGGTTGTGTCAGTCACAACCAGAGGCTAGGGCTGCGTAAACAAAAACAAAAGTGATTTAACTCCTACAGAGAATTGAGCAATAATACTGCAGGGTATGATCTATACACCAAAACTGCTTAATTAGGCTGAAGATGTTTTGCTGCTTAGAGAGCCATATAATAAAGTACATCCCAGCATCCACCTGCCCTTTTCCTAAATGGTGCCCATTTTATAGCACCATTTTATCAAAAATTGATAAGAAACTCACTATTTCTCACCTCTGACAGACAGCATGGCTTCAGTGGAATATCTTCCACCTGATAATTCTTTAGTACATCGGTATGCCCCAGACATGCTCAAACTGACATTTTTAAGTGAAACCAAATCACTTTCTGAGTCCTGTATAACATTATTATCCGAGTTGTAGAATATTGTCTTATTTGCGTTGTGTCCTTGAATATTATGACATCTCAGAGAAACATCATCTCCTTCATAAACATAGTGCGGCACTTGCAGGATGATCCAGTCTGAAAAAAAAGTTGTGACTTGTTAGGTTTTAAGGGCGAGCATCAGTGTTGTAAGGGTGGGGTAAAAGGGGGCCAACACCCCCAGTGTGTAACTATAAAATAATCTAATGTAATCTAGGTTTCTATTCAGATCTAATTTCTGTCCTCAAGATCTATATCGGTCAGTAACTTAATGGGGCAATCAGCATGTTCGATTTGTCAATGATGGAGAAATGCATTCAGGTTTGTTAAACGTGAATTGAAAATTATTTTATAGTATTTTCCCAGTTCAGCTATTTTGCCTTAAATTTGAAATTCTCTTTGATTTTACTTGGAGCCCATCACATTTTAACTTTAATGATTAAACCTGCTGAGTGAGCCTGGAGGACTCATGAAACATGAGCTAGACTTAGCTATGGACTCCATAGTTAAAGCAACACTGTTATAAAAGTTTGTAATTTATATATATACTATTTATGTTATGGTATACCATCTCATTAATGTTTTAATTTATGTTTATGGATTTCTTTTAAAGGAGTTTCTTATCTACCTTTCTACCTTTACCGCCCTCCTCCCTCACCCTCTTTTCGAGCAGCCATATTTATGCTTCTTTGGTGAGATTGTCAATTATCTGACCTAAATCTCACTATTTTACAGTCATCTGTTACTTTTCAAACTGGTGCTGTTTCGGCCAACAGCATTTTCTATCTGATGATTTTGAAAAGAAATGGACAACTGCAAAATAGTGAGTAGGTACGGAGGATCTCCGAGATGTAGAACAGATCATCTCACTGCTGGATTAAATATTTATTCAAAAATTTGTTTGTGGCCAGTTCGTCTCAATTAGATTTCTCTTACTCCACACCCAAACTAATCAATTTGTCCTGGATTTATTCAATTAATAAAACTCCACAGGCAAATCTTGAATAGATCGATTAATTTGGGCATGGATTAAAAGAATTGAATTTTAAATAGCGGATCAAAACAAAATTTTGCACAAGTCTGCTGGAAAAGAGGTAAGTTAACCCTTTTTTGTTGCCACTGGGGGGTCCAATAATCGAAATATATATTTAAACATCCCAGCATTACACATAGATTGTTCCTTTAAAGGGACAATAAAGGCACCCAGACCACTTCAGCTCATTGAATTGGTCTGGGTGCAGTGACCCAGCACCTGTAATCCTGGAAAGGTAATTATTGCAGTTTGCTTTTTATAAACTACAATAATTACATTTATAGGTTAACTCCTCCTCTAGTGGCTGTCTAACAGACAGCCACTAGAGGGACTTCTGATTCACTAGGCGACTTTTGGTTACCTAACTGACATTGGACATCCTCACGCTATGCATTAGGACTTCCAGGGTCATCGGAATACCCATAGGAAAGCATAGAAAAATGCTTTCCTATTGGGAAATCCTAATGCGAGCAAGGCCATTGTGGCGCATACGCATTAGGTCTCCCCCGCCAGCGTGGGAACCAGGTAAGTGATAGAGAGGGTTTTTAACATCTTTTGTACTCTGTCTGGGGAGGTGGACATTATAGTTTCCCTTTAATGGAAAGACCCTCCTTACATGAACAGAAGGATGGTGATGCTTCAAGTTAGGAACAGAAAAACAGCTTAAAAACTTTGCAAAATATTTACATTGATTGTGTTGACTGGTTAACTTACCATAACTAACGTCCAACTTTACAGCATCACTTCTGTCACTTGTTGCGGTCTGGCACCGGTAGTTGGCACTGTCGTGTGTCTCGGCATATTTGATTATAAACTGATTTGACCTTGTGGTTAGAAGCTTGTCATCTTTGTACCAGATATATTCCTGGACTTCCCGTCCCACTGAATCCACGTTACAGGTGAGACTGAGAGTTTCGCCTGTGAATATTTTCCCCCAGTTTGGATTAAATGAAACCACAGGTCTGACAGCACCTTCTAGAAACAACATGTTTTACAGATTAGTTGATTTGTCAGTTTTGCAATCTTATGAAATGTTTTAGGTTGACAACAGTCTATATGAGGGACATCTAGATTTGCACAGGGGATTCTGGGTTACCTCCATTTGCTTTGCCGAGGATCACCCTACATCTGAAGCAAGAAGCAGATTTGTAACTAAGAAACAATGATTACAGGTCAAGAAAATATCTGGAAAACAGGAACAATAACGTTTGCTCTTGAAAATACCCTACAGCAGATAAACTATATATACATTATTATTATTATGATATTTATAGAGCACCGTCAAATTCCGCAGTGCTTTACAATGGGTAGACGAACAGACATGTAGTTGTAACCAGACAATTTGGACACACAGGAACAGAGGGGTTGAAGTCTCTGCTCAATGAGCTTACATGCTAGAGGGAGTGGGGTAAAATGACACAAAAAGGTAAGGATAGTATTAGACTATGACAGTTGCAGAAGAGGAATCAGTCAGGAGCTATTAACAGTTTAATTGATACGCTTTTATGAAGAAGTGGGTTTTTAACGATTTTTTGAAGGAGTGGAGACTGGGTGAGCATCTAACGGAGGAGGGAAGTGAGTTCCACAGGAACGGTGCAGCCCTCGAGAAATCTTGAAGGCGAGCATCAGAGGTGGGAGTACGGACAGAAGAAAGACGTAAGTCTTCAGCAGATCGTAAGGGCCTAGACGGGACATACTTGTGTATAAGGGAGGATAGATAGGTGGGAGCAGCATTATGTAGAGATTTGAAAGCAAGAACCAGAATTTTAAATTGAGCTCTATATTTTATAGGAAGCCAATGTAGGGACTGACAGAAGGGTGAGGCATGGGAGGTGCGGGTGGACAGGAAGATGAGCCTTGCTGCTGCATTCATTATGGACTGTAACGGCGCAAGTTGGGAGCACGTAAGACCACTGAGAAGCAGATTACAGTAGTCAAGGCGAGAAAGGACAGTGGAATGGACCAACACCTTAGTCGCATGTGGCGTTAAGTAGGGGCGGATGCGCGCAATGTTTTGAGATGGAAATGACAGGATTTGGCGATAGATTGAACATGAGGCTTGAAGGAGAGGTCGGAGTCAAAGAGAACACCTAGGCAGCGAGCCTGCGTGGTGGAGCTGATGGTAGCACCGTTGACTTGGAGGGAGACAGACACAGGAGTATCAACACTTGAGGGAGGAAAGACCAGAATTTCAGTTTTGGTCATGTTTAGTTTAAGGAAGTGGGCAGCCATCCAGTTAGAAACAGCAGAGAGGCAGTCAGAGACACTAGTCAAAAGGGACGGGGAGAGATCAGGAGAGGACAGGTAGATTTGCGTGTCATCTGCATAGAAATTATATTGGAAGCCAAAGGAGCTAATGAGTTTACCAAGGGAGGCAGTATAGATGGAGAACAGTAGGGGACCAAGGACCAATATATGTACATATATATGTACAATATATGTGTATTTTCATTAAATTGCATCATGTCATCTTATAATACAGCTTGCAAGAGTTTATGTAGAACATATGTGATCTTTTATGTGGAGAGGTCTAAAGTGTGAGGTTTAAACGGAAGTGGAAATTGTGTGGACAGGATATAGCTTGTGGTTACAATTACTTGTTACATGCAGTGGTTCTTTGAAATTGTTGTGCGGTATAATTCTTCCTCTCTTAGAAATCACACGTGAGCCTCTAAGAGCCTTGCCTTGATACATTTCATGTTTTGTTTCTCTATATAAAGGGAGATTTTTTTGAGTAATTAAATGCACTATAACCATTTCATCTCATTAAGGTTATTAAAGTGCCTGGAAAGTGATTTTCCTCCATTCAGTGTTAAACCATTTTTGAGGAGTATAAAATTAAATAAGGGTATCTATACAATCACAGCCTACTGGAGGTGTGGCTAAGACAAATATTACACACTTCCTTCTAGCAATACCAATTCATCCCAGCAATGACACTGTGATAGGCTGAATTCAGTCAGCTGACACTCTCAGCCAATCACAGCTGCCTATTTCTGTTCAAACGAATGTTTCCTCTTTACCCCAAGCAGTACAGAGAGGATGGACTTTAGGGGATTCTCATTTGCCATTAAAACATTGAAAACAGTTTAATGCTTCATAGAAGGACAGCGTTGGGGGACTCCAGATACTATAATCACTTCAGTGGGATGAAATTGTTACAGTTTCAGTGTCTACATTGTCCCTTTAAGTGATCACCCTAAACCAGGGTTTCCAAACTAATTTTCCCCTTGGAACCCTTTGACATGGTATAGCAAAACTTTGGAACCCCAACAAAAAAAATGTGTGCCATAGAATAGCGCAGCGCAGAGCAAACCTTTCAATGAGCAGCGTGTAATGTTCTCTTTTGCTGGCAAATTCTTTTGATATCTGGTTTAATTGTTGACAATTGTATTTGCATGTCTGCAGTTGCGTCAAGTCGATTTCGATACTTTGTTTTTGTTGCAGAATAAAGCTAGAATCCAATTTGACATAAGTGTGTGCTGACGAATGGCAACAGAACTTTGATTGCCTGCTTGGACAATTCTGGGTATTCTTCGTGTAAATCACCCCAAAAAGCAATACATTTCTGGCTTGTCTTTTATGAATAGATTTTGAACACTGTCATTATTGTTTTCTATCAAGAATGGAAAATACTGATTAAGAGTTGTGATTAAATGGCAAAGACGATCTACAATTTCATTGGGAATTTCATCCTAAAGTTCCATTTCTGATTTTTCAAGAAAATCTTTAAGTGTTGGCAAAGAGTTCACACTATTTTGCTCAACAGATGAGGTCCAAAACTGCAGCTTACGAGACAGTGAAAATATTTTATCTCTTGCATTAAAAATGTTAGCGTTTTTTCCTTGGAGTGGTAAACATATGTCATTTAATTTTGTGAATATGGCTGCAAGATATGCTACCTTGGATAACCAGTCAAAGGTTACCTCCTTTTACAGAGGAGTGTGTATAAAAGAGTGGTCTAGACAATAAAGGTGATTAACAGGCAGCTCAATACACTTGTGTGGAAATATCCTCTATTCCACAGGACAAAATTTTAGTTTTAAGTGCGGTTTAAGTAACAGAAAAACTTATACCAATAAGTGGAGCGCTCCAACACATATACAGCTTACCAAATGATATTGCACTCAATGGTAAAGTATAAGGTACATGTAAAGGAAAAAAATACAAGAAAGAACAATATAGTGCAGACGGTATTTCCTTTTTTTTCCCCCTTTTTTTCATTCTCTTTCTTTTTTTCTTTTATAATATTTCCTTTTCTCTTTTTTCTCTCTTTTTACAAACAAAAAAGGATTCACATACATTGTTACAACAATAAACAATCAGATATTAGACAATAAACATCAGAAAAAAAAAATATATATATATATAAAATCATTACAGTTCAGTCACCTTCAATGCAGAAAGAGATTTACAATAAATCCAAAGAGGCTTTGTCCACCTTTTGTTCTATCTTTTTTCTTACTCCTTCCCCTTCTCTTTCTTCACCTCTTCCCTCCTTCCTTCCTTTACCTTCTCTCCTTATATATTATATTAAAAAAAAACAAAAAAAAAAAAAAACTGCCCTTTGCCGAGAGTTAGTCGCATATTGCTCCTAGGAACCTAGAATCATAATCTTTGACAAATATTTTTTTCTACCAATCAGGCTCCGTAAACATATGGCTAATTTAGAAATTTATGCACAGGAACCACTACCCTATCTACAATTCCAAGACGTAAAAACCTTAGTATATATTAAGTCACATTACTTCTTCCTAATTTCACAATCCATTTCTGCCATTGTTCAAGTCGTGGATTGTAATAATTATTTTGTCTCAATATCCCTATTTCCATTTTACAATTATTCAAGACCTGATGTTTTATCATCTCCCATGACGGGGAATCTGAGATTTTCCAAAATCTTGCGAGAGTAGCTTTAGTTTCTACAAGAATATGGATATTATTTCTTTTTTATCCTTCGGAATTGTGGGCCATCCCATATGTAATATCATAGAACTACAAGTAAAATCAAGATCCACTTCTATTTCTTCCCTACAGAATTTCGCTACCTTTTGCCATAGCTGAGATATAATCGGACATGACCACCATATATGCACATAGTCTGCTATAAGGGAAGCACAACGCCAGCAGTGATATTGGTTACCTGGATATATTTTTGCTAATTTAGCTGGTACATAATGCCATCTGTTGATAACCTTATAGTGACTTTCCGATAGATTTAAGCAATGTGAAGCTTTCATTACTGCATTATTAGCCTCAAGCCATTCACTTCTCATAATGCTAATTTGTATATCTTTTTCCCAAGCTTTTTTAGCTGGAAATTCCGGGAGTGGCTTATACTTACTACAGATATTGGAGCATTTAGAGACTAAATTTTTACTATGTGTGATATTTAATAAATTTATAAAGATCTGTAATTCCTCAGAGATCTCCACTATTCTATGTCTCATTAAGAAGTATTTTATCCTTAAGTACGTAAAACTTTCTCTATAGGAAAGAGAAAAGGCCTGTTTAATCTCTTCAAAAGGTCTAATCTGTTGTTGTTGAAATAACTGATTTATTCTATTAATGCCTTTATTTAACCATGGCTCAAGATTAGGATCCTTAATATTAATGGACAAAACCTGCATAGGTAGGTCAATAATAATTTTATCTGTAATTTTGAGTCTTTTTTTCCAGATTCTCCATTGAGCCAATAAGTTATCTAGAATTAGGCCCATATCATCTCTCTCCCCTTTGTGTATATTCCAAAATAAAGCCATTAAATCTGGAATTTCTGCTCTTTTAGCTTCAATATTTGCCCATGATTCTCCCCTAGAGCTCTCTTTCATAGATGAAATAATATGTGCCAATGAGCAAGATTCATAAATATCTATAATATTGGGAACTCCCATCCCTCCTAGTTTAGGTTTTAGGTTCAAGATTTTTTTTACTAACCCTAGGTTTTTTCCCCATCCATATATATTTATCTAATGCTGATTGGATCAT